AGAGACCACCCTTTCCCTCCGCATCTCGCCTGCCAACGTCCTTCTCCTCTAGCAACACTATATATTCATATATTGAAGCCACAAATAAGCAAAGAAAAGGAAAATCCAAACATAACATAACCCCAGTGCAGCAGTGCTCACCTGCCTACATGTGAATCTCGGAATGAAGTCCCACACCAGATTCACACTAGGGGGCGGGTGTTCGATGCGGTTACGCAAGCCTCAATAACTCTCGTTAAACTAGGATGTCTTGCGAATGATGAGGCCGTGACTTAATAGGTGATGGCTTTTTGGGTCGGCGACTGGAGATGGATAGTGGTGGCGGTGGCGGTTAATGGCGGCGACAACCGGCAGGTAGTGATAGCCGGTAGGGCGATTGTATTTCTTACAATTAATTCTCTCTTATAATAAAGTAATAATAAACAATTAAGAAGGATAATGATGTCATTTTAACTTTTAAATTATGGAGATTGTATTAGAATTATGGCGACAATTAGCAATCCCATTTGGGACATCAGATGGACTTTGGTCTCCAAACGGGACTGGGTACCCATTTCAAACGGGACGGGTATCCCATCTCGTCCTGTTGCCCACCCCTAATCTAGAGAGCACAGACTAGTATTCAAGGTTTGCCAACTTATATTCACCATGAATCAACTATTATCCCAAATTCACAAACTAATATCTAGACAACACAGAATAGTATCCATACACCACATAATTAGTATCCAGATAACACATAAAGAGTATCCATATTGAATGCTAGAATTGGTTTGATTGTGGATATTACTTGGTAATCGATTGGCTGAATACTAATTATGTGAGTTTGATACTAGTTTTGTGACGTTTTGAATACTAGTCTGTGTTATCTAGATACTTTAGTAAACTAAAATCAGCAGACTTGGATACTAGTTCATACATTTTGGATATTAGTTAGTATATACTAACAACTTATGCAGTTAGCAGAATAACTCTATTGAAATTATAAATTCACCAAGTTACACTTTTCCGCATATCTTGTTTAGAGTAGATTTCATCATTTTCACATAATTTGTTACTTATTTTTATATAAGTAGTAATAATTAATTAAGAAAAACATATTGATATAATTTTTAAATTTAGACTAATCTTTTTCATTAAAAATGACATCAACAATAACGAAAACACAGTAGCTAGTCCTGATTGTCGTAGATTATTCACATGTGTGTCAGAATTAGTTGTGACATCAACTGCTCGTCTAACTTTAATCATAATGAGTTGTTTCATCAACTGTTCATCCAACTTTAAACAAATTGAGTTGTACGATCAATTGTTCAGTCAACCTTGACCATATTATAAAGATGAATCTTTTTGTTTCTGTATAAATGAAGGCTCAAACTTAGTCATTCTACACACCCACCATTCAACCTTCAGTCTTGAAAAAACCATCCAACCTTCATTAATTTATGTAGCCACCAAAAAACTCTTGTTGCTCTATGGATTCTTTGATAGTAAGATGAGAAGAGGCAAAGGAAAGTCGATGACAGACTGTGGGAGTATGAGTGACAGTTTGAGCATGAACAGATGGAGAAGTTCATGATGCACAAAGAACTCATGCACCGACAAGAAGCAACATCATCTTAGCGTCGTTCATCATCAATAAAATTAGTGATGCGTAACAAGGAAGAAGCTCACAAGCAGTTGATGCAAGATTATTTTGGTCCTAATCCAACCTGCGATGTTAGGACATTCACAAGGTGATATCGGATGCCCCTGCCTTATTCAACCGTGTCATGAGTGATGTTCTCCAATATGATGACTACTTCAAGCAAAGAAAAGATGCTCTAGGCTGTGATTCATTCTCGCCACATCAAAAGCTTACCAGTGCCTTTTGAATGCTAGCGTATGGATCCTCAACAAACCCTCTTGATGAGACCTGTTGAATGGGTGAGAACACTACACTAGAGAGTCTGAGGAAGCTTTGCTCCACCATCACCAACATTTATGGTGCTCAGTACTTGTGTGCACCAACAATGGAAGATCTTTGTCGCCTCCTTGATCATAGTGAACAACGTGGATTCCCGGGTATGATTGGTTCAATTGATTGCATGCACTGGGAGTCAAAGAATTTTCCAACTTCTTGGGCAAGCCAATTCACCAGCTACAAGAAGAAACCAACCATTGTCCTAGAAGTTGTGGCACCGTACGACACTTGGATTTGGAATGCCTTCATTGGAACACCTAGGTCGAACAATGACATCAACACTCTTGGTGTCTCCCCACTTTTCAATCAAGCAGTGCAAGAACTCGTTCCCAATGTCACTTGTGAGGTAAATGGTAATGTGTACGATCAATGCTATTACTTGGCTGATGGAATTCATCTTGAATGGGCAATATTTGTGAAGACTATTAGCAATCCAAATAATCAGAAAAATAATTTGTTTGCAAAGTACCAAGCGACTTACCGCAAAGATATTGAGAGAGCCTTCAACCTACTATAACAAAATTGGGCCATTATTAGAGGGTCAGCTCGTCTCTGGGACGTGCAATCACTCGGTGATATTATGATAACTTGTATTATTATGCAAAATATGACATTGGAAGATCAACAATATGAGTATAGCGATGGGGCCATTGTGAACATTGAATATGAGAGTAATCCAAATGTCATATGGGAGCCACCTGAGAATAACATTCCAACTCTTATCGAGTTTATGGAAAGACATAATAAGATTCGTGATCGAGAGGTACATCACACATTGATAAACGATTTGATTGAGCATTTATGAGTGAGACATGGAGGAGAGTATAATGTGATTGTCGAAATAAAGAAAGTTGCATTCCCTATGTTTCTTCATGTATTGCCTATGTTATCTTATGTTATCCTGATTTGTTCTAATGGTATCTTAATGCATTCCCAATGTTTACTTAACGTATTTCAAAATAAAATTAGTATTTAACAACTTCAAAGTAATATTCATAAAATAACCAACTAGTATTAATAATTGACGAATTACAATCAAAATAAAGCATTAAATCAAACTTGTAAAAGCAATACACTCCAAATAAAACAATATAAGTACACTTAAAATGTTTCACGCTGGGTCATATTCATTATATGATTTATAATTTGATCCTCGCGAAGTCAAACTTGGAGTGGTTTCATATGAAGCCAAATTCCCATCCTTCTTCCTTTGATACCAAGCTCTAGTTCGAGGACTCAATTTAGAAAGATCCATACTCATTACCTTCATCTCATGCATGTCCTTCTCCCTCAATTTTCTTGCAAATTCACATTCCTCTTTTGCTATTGCTAATCTTGCACGCGTGTTTGAATTTTCCACCAAATAGATCATAATGTATATCCCAACTATATATGGAAGAATACAGTGTTCCTTCTTCTTCTTCTTCTTCTTCTTCTTCTTCTTCTTCTTCTTCTTCTTCTTCTTCTTCTTCTTCTTCTTCTTGTTATTATTATTATTATACCGACCTCTAAACGGTTAATAACAAAAGGAGATGTGTTTGCTTGAATTTTGGCACTATCATTGTAACACCTTAGGCAAATCCCACATCAACAAAGTACGTGAGAGATCCATGGTTCATAAGTAAGAAACCGGTTTTAACTGACAAGACGCATTTTGGGGTGAAATGAAGGAGTTCTTGTGAGAACTCCGAAGTTAAAAGTGTTCAGTGTGGAGTACAACAAGGATGGGTGACCTTATGGGAAGTCACCTTGAATTGCATCCGAAGTCGAAAACCGAGCGGATAATATCTTCATAAGGAAAAGGTTTGGGATGTTACAATCACCAATGTAGTCAAAATCGCGCTTTAAAACTAAAAAACTTACGATTTTACTTTTCTAGGTCACTAATGCGCTTCTACACAAAATCTCAGCAATTGCAAAAGAGGAGTGTATTTGCAAGAAAATTGAGGGAGAAGGACATGCATGAGATGAAGGTAATGAGTATGGATCTTTATGAATTGAGTCCTCAAACTAGAGCTTGGTATCAAAGGAAGAAGGATGAGATTTTGGCTTCATATGAAACCACTCCAAGTTTGACTCTGAGGGCAATTATATCTTATATATAAACTAAACAAACATATTATGTAAGTCTTTCATAATGATTAAGACACTACATAAAACTTATGAAGTGATAGTTATTTCTTATGTTTCAGTTAAATAATATATAACACATGTCTTTCGTAATGATTAAGACACTACGTAAAATTCATAGAGGTATCTTATTCTTACCCGACCAATTTTCTGACTTATTTGATTTCAACTAAATCATAAATATTATTAGTTTGTTACCGCTGCGAAGCGCGGACCAAAAAACTAGTTTACCCTTTAATTAACAAATAACTATAGATAATCTGACATCGTTTTTCACCTTGTCTTTTTCCGCAACAATAACAAATAACTTTAGTACACTTCCCTACTGCGGTCAAAGAGGTGCAAAATTCTTTCCCTGTAAACTCTTTCCTTCCAAGTTTACATTTTTATGCATCTGATGTGTCCGTGAGAGGGCAACCTTGAAGTACAAACTAATGTGGCAGTTCAAATTGAGGAATGGTTGTTTTTATTCTATCTCACATAAGGCCATTGCTGAAGGAAAATCTTATCCATGTCCCTTGCACACTGCATGGCTTAAGGAGATCAAAGTCATCTAACCAAGTCACAATGTGTAGTAATCAACTTGTGATATTTCCAGTTTAGCTTCCTCTAGTTAGTCATATAGAGAGAGGGTTGAATCGAGAAGTTCACCTTTATTTCTTTTGTCTTTGTCATCTGATTTCTGAAGTATTCTAATGAATGGAGCATTGACAAATTATTGCAAACATGAAATCTCACCAACTTTATTCAGAAGCCAATTCAAATACTGAAAATCAACACATAAATACTTCATCACGCGACTTAAATAGTGCTGTTGCATATGCAACTTATTCAGAACAAACGAACATCGTTGCGAGCATCTAACAATCAATCAAGTGCATAAGGAAATGGCGTATCCATTGCGTTTCTAATTCTTCATGATTTTGTCGGCTATGGGAAATGAGAGAGCTATATCCACAGACACCTGAGATACATACACAAAGAAATTGTAGTTAGATCAGGAAAACAGAGTGGAAAAAGAAAGAAAACTAAATGTTTTTTATACCTTAATTTTCTCTAATTTGTCCAAGCCAAGCTGTAATGGTTCAGTTATCTGACCATATTTCTGAAGAAGAGCAATTGCACCCTGTTTATTTCCTTTCGCTTGAATCGTCAGAATCTCCCTGCTTAGGCTCTCAACCGCCTCTTCAACCTTTCATTCACACAACGAATTCAAATAAACAGTTTAATTCTGATCACTTGTCCAAAAACAAACGCACTGCTAACTCTGCTATGGATGTAAATGTACCTTTGTGAAATCAACAGAAAAAGTCTCATCATCAGAATGAAGGACAATGGCTTGCTTCTCAAACAGCCAATTGAACTGCACAGCTTGCCCTTTCCTATATTTTTTTTTCCACAGACAGAAAATGTAAGACTTGGGTACGGAAAAGTTCAAATCAGGCTGAGAGTGTTGGGTTCATGCTTGCTTACCCATGAGCATCCTGTAAACCGTATCGAACTGAACGGAAGCATGTTGCCAGAAATGAGACATACATAGTCTCCAACATGCTCTTTGGAAGTAAACCCTGCAACCCAAATCGACCAATGCCTAGTAAGGATGCTGCAGTTTCTCAAAGGCAGTAACAAGTGGTGTATATTAATAGTTACCTGGGAGATGAAGAACCTGAGCGCCCAAAGGCCGACAATATCAGCCTTGGCTTCTTCCAGAACTGTATGGAACTCTTGCAGCTCCTTTATACAACATAACAATCACGTGATCAAGGAAAACAAACCTGCAGAAACCTAAAACTGAAACAACAAAGTGAATGGTATCTGGCAAGAAAAAAAACCTGTCTAACAGTGGAGGTTGAACCATCAGGAAGTGTAATGGTGTGAGGACCAATGCCGTGAATACATTCATGGCAGGTGATGTGTGTGAAGAAGGAATCGAAATCTACGAGCTCCTTCTGTTCATTGTTGATGCAGATGTCTGCTATCGGTTTCAGGATTTTCTCAAACCTGTTTGGTCATGAGGAAAGCAACATAGAAAAGGTCCTTAATGTTTTGAAGCAACAAGCACCAACGACGGAAGGCAAAGTGGAGATTAAACATTAAACCAGTATTACTTAGCCTCTTGAATATTCTTGATCATCACCATTGAAGTCCCTCGATCCTTTACTATACGCTCGTCATTTGGTAGATTGAAGGCTGCAATCTGAGGGCCGTCAACATCCTGTTTTTTTGTTTGTGAAACAAATATCAGATTCAAACTTTCATTCATTTCTGGTAGCACTTGATTATCTAGTTGGCAGAGTCAATATTTGCGAGTATAAAGTCAAAAGGCACACCCCAGAATTGTAGATGAGTTGAATGACACGAATGGGTGAGACGTTGACATTGGTTGATTTGTACTGATCGTCCATGGGAAGATTTTGCTCCAACTTCTGAAACCCATCAAGCCTTCCATTATTATTCAACACAATAGTGAAGAGCAGAAGGAAACAAGTCCCTAGTTTGTTGTTTAAGCAATAGGGAAGGAGCTTAGGAAGTAGACCAGCATATTTTCTCCAAACATTTTGATTCGACCAGTTGCCTCATCATCACGTATCCCAATGAAGGATTCAAATGTAGCCTATGATAAAACATGAAGCAATATTAGAAAATGTAGAAGATCCGTCTCTTCACAATACCAATCATGGTTGTTGAATGATAAGAAAAAGCATCAGTAGTTAAGTTGTTTTTACCTTGTAGCCAAAGAGTGAATCTTCATATGTTTCATACGGACCGATGGTGACATCAATCTTAGAGTCCTGCACCCATATTTATTATCCAATTGTCATGAAAATGCCCTAGTCACATCAAAGCAGTAAAAGGGTTTAACAGAATTCAATGAAATTTACCAAATCCATCCAAGCAATATCAGATTCATAGTAGTCATTTGAGAGGAATGCATCAGCCTTGGTATGCAACAACTTCTTCAAGCTACAACGAACCGGAAGTCATAAATTAATTAAGGTAGCAAAGCTACGATAATGCGAAAAGGTGATTTCAGTAAGAAGGAACAGAAGTGTTCATAAGATCATGTGATGATACATTGTGGGCGAGTTTGTATTCATTACCTTGGAGTAGCAGCCAAGTCTCCAGCTTTTTGGAGAAACTCAGCAGCTTTGGTAAGGGAAGAAGCATACTCTTGAGAGTAAGGAACAATGTAAAGATCAGGATTGGTTTCACTCTGCCTCCTGATAACAGTGAAGAAACCTTGAGCCTCTTTTTGCTGCGATTCCGAGAGTTTGCTCTTCCATGATTCAAACTCCTGGTTTCATCCCCACCGATGTGAGATTCATTTTAACACGTTTTGTTTCTGTGCTAAACTAGCACATGGCACGCAATTAGAGCCTTGTAATGTACCTTTTTGGACATGTCTAAAGGGTAGAAATTGGCACCGGGAGGTTTGTTGGAAGACAGAGCAACTCTGTATTGTAGACCTTTCCATCCTTCCACTGGCTTTATGGCAGCAGTAGCCAACTTTATGGCTGAGTCTTTAGTCGTCAGGAACGCCTCGTTCTCATCAAGGCTAGACCTGTTGTGGACACAGACACCAATTACTGAATTAGCAGAAAAGAAAAGAGAGAGAGAAGCAATGTATATGCAGCTGAATCTTTAATTGATCACCAGGGGCTCTTGTTGATGACATAGTAATCCCATTTGAGGTGGTCAAGCTGCGACGCATCGTCTCGAGCTGCCTGGCCCTGGAGCCAATCTCTGAGAAGAGCATTGGTGTCCAGAACCTGGTGGAAGAATATCTCGTCGATGGCTTTTGCAGCCTTGATTATGAACCCCAAGGCCTCCTTGTCCCCATCGGAAAGCCCTGTCAACTATACAGAAACTCATTTCAAGAACCCACCAAATTAATTAGGTTTCAATGCTACAATAGACTGATTGTAGAAACCATTACGTACCTGGGCTGTGAGAGAGACGGGAGCATAGCGCTGAAGTTGTTTCTGGAGGGTCGAACAACGGTCACGGTCCTCTTGGTATCTTTTGGTAAGAATGGCAAAGAGTTTGGCGTATTCGCCGGCGATATCAGGCGGTTGGACATAGGCGGGATCCTTCTGCGCAACTAAGCTTTTGTACTCCTTGTATGTCATGTACTTGACACTGCCTGGCCCTTTTTTCACCTGTGTCCCATAGAATTGAACACCATCAATTTTAATTTGTTACTTAGACGGTGTACTACTTAAATTAGTTACGGTGTACTACTTAAATTAGTTACGGTTTAAGAGTTTGAATCTAGGACCTCCAGGTTCAATATTAGTGGTTTTACCACGAAACCAAACTCTTGTTCGTAAGGTGGGGTTACTGTTAGAATATGTGATTACCTGAAGAGTGAAAGCCTGTAATGGTACCGGCTCCAGGGTGGTCACCAGGTATACATCATTGTTCAGCACATTTTCGGACTCTCTGCATAGTGTTATTATTATTATTGTACGTTATTATCCGTGTTTGTGAAACTGTACCGTATGGACAATATGAATAATATTTGGGTAGTGGTGCTGCAAAAAATTTACCCTCCTTGTGGCTCTTTTAGGGGAGAGCTAGACACCAACTCAAAGGCATCAGTTGGAAGGGTGATCCCCAGCTCCGATTGCACCAACCTCCTGATCAGTCATCATCATAAGAAAACTCCAACAAAATGCATTGATTACAAATTATCCTTTCTTTCCAGAATCGGTCACTTTCTTCCCCTTCATTTTCATATATGTTAAAAAAGAAAACAAGTTGATGTGAGAGTACTGAGATGGGGTTCTTTCCTTCACCTAGCGGCTTGAAGTGATGACTCATAATCAGATATCGAGGCGACGACGGCGGATGCGTCCCAGTGCCCTGGCCGGCGGTGGCTTTGGAGAAGGAGCTCTTCATCTTCCTCAGCAAAAATCCAGACGCGAACCTCTCTCTCGCCTCCATGATGGCGATGATCAGAATGCCTGCATGCATGGTAAATACACTTTCCATATTGTTACTAAGAACATTCAACCATACAAAGTAATCGTCCTGCATGTGGAAATTCTTAACGCAGCTTATAATGATTGATTAATATAACTATGCAAGTCTGGTTATATTTAGCATTAGGAGTGTTCAAACGGGGTGGTTATTGTGCTAACCGTTTTAACCAGTACTATTTGGATAATTTGGTTTGGTTAGTTTGGATAATTTGTTTGATTTGGTTAAACTTTTTAGCTTGTTTGGTTTTGTTTCAGACACTCATAACCAATGAAACCATATTAATCAGTTAAGTAATTAGGCATATATCTAATATACATTACATAAACATATTTAATACTTTGCATAACCACTCAATACTCAATCGTTCCTCTCATCTAGGCTCGTAAACAAATCAAGCTCAATATTGTTCCTATATTGTATATTTGTATTTGTAAAGTTAGACCGCAACATATGGACTTTTAATTTAGTTAAAACTCATAATTATGTTGGATGAAAACATGAAAAAGGTTTTATTCAACCTATGATAATAGTTAAGAGACTAAGTCAATTTACACAAACACAACAATTCATTAACTCCGTATAGTTGCATAATTTTGTTAGGTGAATACTTTTATTGACTTTAAGCTAATTATATTAGTTTTATGTATTTATGTTAATGATTAGCGATAACTATGTGTTGATTGTTATGTTTTCGTTATATAAATTGCGAATGATGCAATAAATGAAAAAATTTCTCACTCAATAATGATAATGTGATTTTATATTGGTTAATCCGGTTACTAATTAACCAAACCGATTAAACTTTAATTTGGTTGTTGTATTAGTTTGAATGGTTTGGTTATAATATTGTATTCCATGGTTAATAAAATTTAGACTTATTTGATTTGATAATTACCATGACAACCATTTGAACACTCCTATTTAGCATATATGCATCATGTAAATATCATAATTAAGGAAAAATGACAGTTTATTATTCTTATATTTTGAATGAGGATACAGCTTTGGTATAATCCACAGTCGTTGAGTCATGTGTTCCATGTTCCATGGTCATTTGATTCCATGGGATGACAATTCTGTAAATAATTGTCACTTTGTGCATCCAACTGTATGAAATCCGAACACACAATCCAACGATTATGGATCGTGTTTGGATATCCCAACTTCAATGGATGATCCTAGTTACTGAATTGGATTTTTTGCTAACATATTTATTGCCCATTGACAACTAGCCTTATATCATGTTCTCATGAATTTGTCGAAATTAATCAAATCAGGATCTTAGTTAGTAAAATATGGTATGGGTAAGTTACATATAATATATATGAGTATTTATCTCAACTCTAATTTTTTTTTAATTTCAACTCTAAATTAATTGTACGTCTAATAGTCCATTAATATTCATAAAATATATAAAATTAATTAATTTATAAATAATTCAAATTATAAATAATATTCAAATTATCAATTTAATTCTTCAAATATAGATATTAAACGTCTTATACAGATTTAATATGTATTTAGTAGGGGATCCATTAAATGGAAGGAGAAAATGAGACGGTTTGGTTATAAGACAAAAGTAAAATTTTAAACACCTAAAAATATGTATATATATATATATCAAACAAAGTATTTAGTAACCGTGATCGAGATCCACTCAAACTAATGCACATGGGTTGTGGTAAAAAGTAAAAATAATTACCGATGTTAATTTGACGAACTAAGTTTAAGTTTGACGGTAACAAATATTTCCCTTCCTTACCCGACTATTTTACCTTTATAAACATCCATGCAATTTTTATAAAGGTGTATTTAAAAAGAAATAAAACATACACCTTTTAAAAAAATCTTATTTCATATCATTATCATTTCTGACACGATATTATCATTTCTGCATCGCTCAAATGTTCTTGTGCAATATTAATGGACGATCAAGTAGTAGAAGGCTCACTTCTCGTTATGATGGTGGTGCAGGGTCGATCGAGGCAGCAAGTTGGGGAAGCGGTGCCTCGAACACGGTTCAAGCTTCCTGCAGTGACCAACATTATTATTGCAACAACCTCTAAGTCAACATTTAATTTTAAGGATAAATACAATATATATTTAGCCGCATAAGTCATAACTATTAAGTAGTGAGAAATTATAGTCACAGCAATCAAAATACAAATTATTAGCCATAACTATTATTGCCGGTCAAGATTTGGCTAACAGTCCGTTACTGTTTTCAAATTTTTAACGGAGAAGGCTATGTCAGCACCGTAATGACTGTCATGTGGGGAGAGCCAGCTCAGCATCGTAAAAGCTTAGTCATTATTACTAACAGAAGTGTTAACGAAGACTTAACGGTTAGCTAATAAATTGTATTTTCGATAGTTGTGCCTATAATTCCCCGCTGCTTAATAGTTATGGCTAAATATATTGTATTTACCCTTAATTTAACAGTGAGATAAGTATTGTTCATCATGAACTTCAGCTTTCTTGACGAAAAAGGGATTGATCTAATGGTAATACCACTAGCTTTGAACCTGAAGGTCCCAGGTTCAAATCCCTTCAGTAGTACCTAATTACAAAAAATAACCTATATCACCCTTATTAAAAAAAAACTTCAGCTTTCTTGTTAATCATTGCGATAGCTAGAGACTATATAGTCTATAAGTTGATCATCAGATCAATGGTTAACCCAACAGATAAGGAGCTATTAAGCAACTGAAAACTACAATTAAGCTAAAAAATTAATTAGGTTAAGGGGGAGAAGAAGATGAAATGGAAGTACACATGCCTGGAATTAGAGTGCATGTCTCTAGTGCTCAGCTGCTCTGCTCGAGTCTATATCTTCTGTGTGTCTATCAAAAGTGCATGAAAAAAATCATCAACCGATTGTCCCATTTATAGAAAGAAAACCCATCCCCGTTGTAGGATTGGTTGAGTGTGGGTGGGCACACAGCATAAATGCAGAGCGTTTAAGACTATGGGGCCGTTTGGTATACACGGAGAAGAAATGATTGGATTGGTTTGGTTTAGTAGATCCAAATTGAAGATTTTGGTAACCCCAATTTAACCCTCCTCCACCATAAGGATTAAGGATCATACAAAAACCCCATTATCAATTTTCCATTTCAATACCAATAAAACAAGCGTAACTTCCAAACAACCCCTTAGGGTGGAATTCTTACCATTTTAGTCTGTAGACTTCAGGCCAACGACTTTTTTTGACTCCTACGGCTATATTTTTTCAAAATTCTCTATAAATAGACACAAATTTCTCTGTAAATAGACACCAATGACTAAGTTTGAGCCTTCATTTATAAATAAACAAAAAGATTCATCTCTATAATATGTTCAAGGTTGGCTGTACAGCTGATTGCACAACTCAATATGATTAAAGTTGGATGAACAATTGACGAAACAACTCATTTACGATTAAAGTTGGATGATCAGTTGATGTTACAACTCATTCTGGCACACATGTGAAGAATCTATGACAATATGGACTAGTTACTCTGTTTGCGTAATTTCTAATGAAAAAATTAAGTCCAAACAAAACAAATTATATTTTTTTTCTTAATTAGTTATTACTATTTATATAAAAATAAGCAATGAATTATAAAAAAATAATGATGAAATCTACTCTAAACTAAAATTGCCGAAAAAAGTGCAACTTGGAGGATTTAGAATTTTGGTCTTCCCCATTGGAGCAAAACCACCTTTTCTAGGACTAAAAAATCCAAATATAATTCTAAAATTTGATCTTGCAGTCCAATGGGTTGGAGATGGTCTAACACGGATCCAGAGAAGAGAAGGTACTTTATTTAGTTCTCTATTTTTCTTAATCAGATCCTGTGGCATTTGTTTTCACTTGAAATTTAAAAAATTTGCATAGAAAGAAAATATTAATTATGATATATACAATTCAATTTATTTTGCTCATTTTTTAGCAAATAAAAAATTAACTCTTCAAAACACATATTGGTTGTAGTATTATCACTGTCATATCTATAGCATCATCACGATATGATAGTGGTATGATGAATTATCTTCTTCATTTCAAGTCAAAATCGTAAAAAAATAGTATAGAAAGAATGCATTAATTAAGATCTATAAAATGATATCCATTTTGTATGTTTTTGTTAAACATTAGACTTCATACCAACATAATATCAGTACCATATAATGATAATATTATATCAGTACCATATCATGATATTATCATTATATCATAATGATGGATGATGGTATAATGATAATATTAATATCATGATATGACAATGATTTGATGTCATCAAATTATTTTGGCAAACATAATACCTCATACCAACATCAATATTATACCACTATCATATCAAAACCATACCACTTTTAGTGATAATATCGTGAGATGATAGTGGTATGATGACCTGAAATTTTTTATTAAAAAAAACAAAATAGATATCATCTTGTAGAGCACAATAAATCCGATATTTTTATGCAATTTTGTTTTGAAATCCTACATAAAATGAAGGATCTATGGTCTGTTGAGTTTTCTTGTCGATATTGAAAACTGCTTTAATAAAACCCGAGAATCCACACCACTCACTCCAAAGTCCGGGCAACGGGTAGAAATCTAGTCAACTCCCCATATTTTCCTGCCTACCCCTTTATAATATGGACCATTAGATCTTACTTTTTCAAATTACAACATTATATCAGGTTTTGTATGACTACAAAACTAATAGATTTTGTAATATATCCGAGTCTTTTTTCAACAGTTAGATAATATCATCTCGTATTTTTTTTATAATTGAGGTACTATCTTATGGTATTCCACATCGTTTCTCTTTGTACTAGGAATTACAATAACAATGAAGTATATAAGAATGATAATACGTTGACTCTTTGGTTAATTTTACTCAATTGTCAAGATCCATATGAATATTTGGTCGGATCCAAATGGATTTTTAATTATTTTGGGTTTAGGTTGGACT